CATTAAAAAAGAGTATTATGAAATTTATGTTGAAATATCTGTTTTTAGTCTGCATAATGTTAATTAGATATCACGGAACAATTAGGATATTTATAAAAGATTTATTTCTTATGTTTTGTGTTCTAATTTTCACGACAATATTTCTTATGTTAGCTGTGTACTTGAACATTTTAAAGTGGTCACTCAAAAAATATGCTACAGTTTGATTGCATCTAAAGAAAACTTTCGTTTTTACTAACTAAAAAAATATAAAGCAAAGATATTTGAATAAGTTATTCAAAGTTTAACATATTTGCTTTGATTATAAATAAAATTTATATTCTATACAAAATACTTGTGAAATAACTGCTCGACCTAACAGTCATATTAAGATAAAGTTTTGAACATATTTTAAAAATAGTACTCTCGAGTCCTTCATACAAGGGAGGAGGGGGGATTTTAGTCCAGATCTAACAAAAAGGGGGAGGAAGGGGGATTTAATAAAAGGGGGGTGTGTGGTAACTTTTTTATATTTCAATAAGTATTTTTTATAAAAAATTTCATTTTATAAATCAAAACTAATATTTTTTTACAAAACACGCATAAAACTAAATCTAGCGTGTCTTGTGGTAAAATGCGCGTTTTTTAACGGCTGTTTTTATAATAATTTCAATAGGGTTTTAATATTTTGATGTAAGTTTTATACTTTGGTGAGAAATAAATTAAAAGCTCGTTTTCAATAAATCGAGATTTACTTGGTTTTTAAAGATTGTTTACACTGAAAAATTTTGTTTTTTTTCAGTGACTAATAATTATTTTCTAATTTGTAAGGCCGATTTTCACAGATTTTTTATTTTATTCAAGTAAAAACAAGTAATTAATAAATGGAGAGGGGGGGGGGGGGGGATTTTCAAAAAATAAATGAACGTCCACCCATATCCTTTTATAAGGGACTCGAGATTAACAAAAATCAGCTTAAAAATGTAGACGAAAATAAAGATATGTGAAAAATAGTATAGAAACGCAAAAAACATTTAGCGAGCTACTGATGCAAACTAAAACGCGCTGAGCAAAAATCTCAAATGATTTTTATCATTATGAAACAAACTGATAATTTTAGCTCGAATGCATAACACTGGTGTAACAAAAAGACATTATTTTTGGATATTATGGCAGCTATAAGACTTGTTTTTGAAGAACCAACAGACACCAATCACCACTTGTGTAACGCACGTCAAGGTAAGGGCCGTCCGGAAAGGGATGTATCCCCCTCCCTTCCCCCCCCCCCCCCCCCCTCAAAAAAAAAAAAAAAAAAAACTGTCATAAGCATTTGAGTTGGCATATTGAGCAAGTTTTTAACTATAGTTGACAAACTGCAAATATTGAGGACCTTTTTTTTTTTTTTCTTTTTTTTTTTTTTTTTGGTGTCTTGTAGGCAAAAAATATATGCAACCCCCTCCCCTTCCTCCTCCTAAGTAAAACCTCTTCAGGACAGCCCTGGTCAAAGCGCCCCATCAAACCTTCGATATTACAAAAAGAAAAGTCATCAGACTTGGAAAAGTAAGCAATAACATCTTTATTTCACTCATTGACTTGACGAACTGTCACCGTTCTAAGCGTTTTCTTAAAGTCTGCCTTAAGAAATATTAAAATTTTATTGCTTCAAAAAACTTATTACACTTGTGTCAGAGCCGACGACACCGTGGAGGGGGTACGTGCCCTCCCCCTTATTTTTAAAAAAATTTCTAGATATAGAGGACTTTTTTTAGGAATTGACAATTGTGCTCCCTCCACTTTAAAACCTGTGTTGTCGGCCATGTTATTATTTCAGAATGCATTTTGCAAACTGAAAATTTGCAAATATTTTCATTTTGCAAAGATTAAAGTTAATTATTCCAAAGGTGTGAAGAAAGGAATATACAAACTATCAACGCTATTTTTAATTGCTAAGCCATAATAATTTTCAAGTTTATATCTGATTGTGTTGTTTTATTCTTACCATCTACACGGGTCTATGTCTTTTTATTTATTACTACATGATTCCTGAGGCAAGTCCCAAAATGTTTTTCAACACGACTAATGCATTTTAACTTTACAGAAAAAATACTGTATTTCTTATATGGCTCACTTTGCATAGTACCATTGAATGATAAAGTGTTCAAGAAATTATGTAGATATTAGGTTATACTATGGAAGTACTAAAGACTCTCGTCTCTACTAAGAAAACGAAAAAAGGTTTTTAGGCGAAAGTAGTAATTATTCTGTAGTTCATATTTTTGTTTGAGAACTAAATGCAATATACTTGGTATTGTTATAATCAATAATAAATAATATACAGAAAGTTATAAAAGCTGAAATAGAAAACAACCGAGTTTCTTTTTTATAGTTGGCGCAGCCAAAATATAATTAATTTATATTATGTTATTATTTAATTTTAAACACGACTATTAACTACACGCATAAAATGCCTGGTAAACTTTATCGCTTGAGTTTTTGTTTTGAAAAAAAAAATGTTTTGTTA